GTGTTGATGTGATGTCGGGACGTCGACCTGTCCGAATGGAAGGCATTACCGCCGGGACAGACGGCACTGCCGGTGTGTTGTGTCGCTGCTAACAACACCATTGACGGGCACAGCCGCCCTGCCTGTCGTGGTAGAGGCAAGTCATGATTGATCAAGGTGGTCTTTAACCCAAGGTACCATTATTTTGATCCCTTCTATGCGTACAGATGATCGAACGACCCCTTGTGGACGCACGCGGTAGTCAGTGCGTGTGTAGGCATGTATGTATAGCGGCTGACGCCGTGACTCGTTTGTCGCACGTTCAGTCACAGTCCGTGTCAGAGCACAAAGCCCAGCGCCGCTGCTAATGCGTTACATGGCATTTATCCTGCTTTGTTCGGGCGGTCACTGCGGGGTTCACGTCAGACTGATCGGACGGACGGCGGCGACTCTGTCGTCATGACAACGGTTACGCCGGCTGCCGTATTTCTGTCCAGCGCGTCCGTTAACAGTCTGTTGGTGATGTGGTGACAATCAAGGCGACGTCTGCTGAAATATTCACACCTGAGTGACAGACAGAGGTCCCTGGAAAAGTCGCCGCTGAGTGGACTGTTCATAAAACACCGCTGATAGAGCTGCGGCCGGCGGATCGACCTCGACACCTATTACCTAAGGTGTCCGCGGGTCGGGAAAAATGGAGGTGTTGCACGGATGGACACCGTGTGATATGGTCGACACAGCGATAGGCGTTATCTGATGTCTTTGTGCCTTATAATTTGCGAGTTTTCAGTTGATTTATCTTAGCCATGTACACATGTTACGCACTATGCAGTATGCAGTTTGCTTTATTGCGTTATCTTTGACATACGTTATGCCAGTCGCATTACAAGTGTGGCACATACGCTCTGCAGCTCCGCAGCTACAGCCGAGCCGCTGTCATAGACCCCCGTTACCCTCCCGCAGGTACACGGCCCGGCCGCTGGTGGACACCGTCTTTGACGGCGGTATGGCCACCTGTTTCGCCTACGGCCAGACGGGCTCCGGGAAGACGCACACCATGGGCGGCACGTTCAGCGGCAAGGCGCAGGACGCCAACAAGGGCATCTACGCCATGACGGCCAAGGACGTGTTCCGGCTGCTGAAGGCGCAGCAGCACAAGAACAAGGGCCTGGCCGTGTCAGCCAGCTACTTCGAGATCTACAGCGGCAAAGTGAGATCGTCGTTACTGTAGTCGAAATACGAATTTAAAGAGTGAGAAGAGTCATGGCTGAAAACAGGATGTAACCCTAATTTTCATTATTTATGCTGTAAGGTTTCATATATTTCCTGTCGTCTTATTTTGTGTTCATTTTTAGCACTGGCTGATTACCTTACAGTCATGAGCATGTTTTAATGATGTCCACCTTCGGTCTTAAATTATTCTACCACTATAAACATGTTTTAACCCACGTCCTTGAGTGGCACGTTGTTATGAGGGACTGCTTTCATACACGCATCGCTGGCATAAGCGGCCGATGACATACGTCCCCGGCTGCCTGTGCCCGTGTGTTGTGTGTTTCCATCACCTATACATTTCTGGCAAACACCGTAAGGCGCTATTGCGTGACGTACTTCGGCTTCCAGCTCTACACAATTTAGTTGCGCCTGGACGTCACTAGCTGATGTTGATCACCGATTCTCATTAACTTAACGTCTGTCTGGCGCCACAAAATGAAGCAGTTAGCAGGACGTTGAACATTCTTGACCTCTAATGCTACCAAAATTTCTGCGCTTGTCTTCACCACAGCTTTGTGCTTACAATTTGTGTGTCCAGTGCGGTACCCGTTCAGCGCTGGCGAGTGACCTGACAATCACCATCTTTCTCCCCGTGTCTGGCCAGGTGTTTGACCTGCTGAACGACAAGGCCAAGCTGCGCGTGCTCGAGGACGGCAAGCAGCAGGTGCAGGTGGTGGGTCTGACCGAGCGGCCCGTCGAGAGCATGGAGGACGTGCTGAAGCTGATCCAGCACGGCAACAACATCCGCACCAGCGGCACCACCTCGGCCAACAACCACAGCTCGCGCAGCCACGCCGTCTTCCAGATCATCCTGCGCACCCGGCAGTCGGGCGTGCCGGCCGACCGCTGGAAACTCTACGGCAAGTTCTCACTGATCGACCTGGCCGGCAACGAGCGCGGCGCCGACACCTCCTCCTCGGACCGCAACACGCGCATGGAGGGCGCCGAGATCAACAAGTCGCTGCTGGCGCTCAAGGAGTGCATCCGCGCGCTGGGCCGCAAGGGCGCCCACCTGCCGTTCCGGGCGTCCAAACTGACCCAGGTGCTCCGCGACTCGTTCATCGGAGAAAAGTCCAAAACGTGCATGGTGAGTGGGTAGGCCGGGGCTGGTGGGGTGGGCTGCTATTGTCGGTGGGTGCGAGGGATTCAGAAGTAGTTGCTTGTGTGGATGTGACAAGTGCTAGGAGAGTTTCGTGCCGTTCTCTGTTATGCTCAGTCAGAAGGACAATGGGTTTTGAGATGAGTCGATATTTTGCAGCTTCACTTTTCATTCAGTTCTTTTCGTGGCTTGCTATACGAATGTTTGCCTGTGAAACGAACGCTAAACGCACACGACCACCCATTTCGGTTCGTTTCAACCTCGCCCTTCTCTGTGCCCTCAGATCGCCATGATCAGCCCGGGTCTCAGCTCGTGTGAGCACAGTCTCAACACGCTGCGCTACGCGGACCGTGTGAAGGAGCTGGGCGCCCAGGACCCCACTGAGATGAAAATGGAGAGCACCATCTCGAACGGAGGAGGCGGTGGCGGCGGTGGAGGCCGGCGTCCGGGGCCCGCTGAGCCGGCGCGCGGGGTCGAGTCGCCCGACGACGACCTGGCTCAGCTGCGGTCGCTGAATGTGAGTAGATGGAAGGGAGGAAAGGGGGAGGTCGCTAGTTGAAGGTGAACGGAAAGTCGCGAGTGAGGCCCGGGGTGTCACCTAAATGTCTTCCAGTGTAATTGTTTGAGCTTCCTGTTGTATCTTGTGCATGAATCCTTCATTAAAATTTCCTTGCCATTTCCCTGCTATCTCTCAGCTCCTCGCCATCTCCTGACACCTGTCCCGCCCGGGCCCTCCATCCTCTGCCTCAGATATCCACCTCCGGCCTGGTGGAGCGACTCCACTCCAGAGAGAAGACCGACTCCGTGACGTTTGTAAGCAGCCCGAATGGGGTCTCCTTTACTTTTACGCCTTTTTCCCGCCGAACAAACGTTGGCTGAAAGACAACTTTGTATATTGTTTGTCTCTCAATTTCACACTGATTATGTTGCAAAGACGAATTTCCGCAACTGTTTCTAATTTCAGTATCAGTCAATCACGATTCAGTATGTGCCGCATCGTTCCCGATCCCTGGCGTCTAACTTCGCTCGCCAACACCGTCACTGACGACCTACCGCTCCACAGGAGGGCGAGCTGTCTGCGGACCTGTACAACTTCCACGAGGCCGTCTCCCACCTGCAGGACATGGAGGAGGAGGTGCTGGATATGCACAAGGCGGCCATCGAGCTCTCCCCCCGCTGGCAGCAGATCGACATGTCCCTCCTCAACATGACCAACGAAGTCGACTACGACGTCGACGGTGAGTGGACGAGCTGTTGCTAGTTGATGTATTGAAAAGCCGCAGTATTTGCTTACTAGGTTGTGTGATATCCAGTTGACAATGTTGATGACATTACAGTCGTCCATGTGTTGACTTTGGACATTTTGGCGTTCTTCTCCAAGGATATTCCGTCATTTGTGTAAGATTTCGTGGGGTAATTCGTTCATTTTGATCTGCGTTCCCTGCTGCCCGCCGTGTTCAGTGGTCGATTCGTTTGCTGACGCCGCCCGTCTGTTCCTCGACAGCCTACGTCCAGCAGCTGGAGGACCTGCTGGACGAGAAGATGGACGTCCTCGCCAAGTTCAAGCGGAAGGTGGAGGTGTACCGGTCGCAGCTGGCCGAGGAGGAGAAGATATCACGGAACATCAAGCCGGTGCTGCGGCGGTAGGGGTCGGCCGGGGGCTGCTCTGAACTGTTTGAGAAGCTCGGCCGGCCGGTCTGAGACGGTACGACTCGGTCCGGCGTGCAGTGGCGTACCGCCGTCCAGTGTGTCTGGCTCTGAGACGGCTGAGTGATCCCGCAGTGAAACAGCGGGGTCGGCTCGCCGTGAGCAACTAGGAAACCCGGCGGCGGCCCACGCTGAGGGCATTAGGCGGCCGGTGAATCGGTGTGCCGTCAGACGGCCGAGCGGCCGGCCGCCGCGGCGGTGAGAATACGGTTCGGGGTGGGGAGGCAGGTTTTGGGAGCCTGCGCCGGGCACCGCGGTCCGGCCCCAGCATCCACCGCCGTGACGCCGGCCGAGGCGACTCGGGCGCCGCTACTGTGATCCGCGCTAACGTGACGTGACGCCGCGTGACGAAATGTGATCGGACCGCGTATCGCGGTCGCCAGCACCCACTCCCACCCGTCGGGGTCCCTCGCACACGTTCCTCAGCAGCGTGCGGTGTGCGGGAGAGCCGGCCGCGAGGAAACTACTGAGGCGACGCGCCGGTCAGCCGCCGTCAGCGGGTGCTCACAAGTCAGGAACGAGCGAATACTGGCACCGTCGACACGTGTATCGAGTGTAGTTTGATGATAAAGTGTGCTGCCAGTAGCTAGCTGGTAATCGACCCACGGTGCGTTCTTGAAATTGCGCCAGTTTTTGTGCATAATGCCTTCGTTTCTACTGTTGCCCTTTTGTGCCTGCTTGAGTGCGATTGGCTTATTTGCATGTTGTGTTTTATCAGTCATCATCCATGGTTCCATTGGCGCCGTCTGCGGCCGGTGGACGGGGCTGTTCCGTGCTGTGGCGCCCGCCTGTGTGACGCGCCACTCGTACCACCTAATTATTCTTGCATTACTCTCCGTCGCGACTACCTGTGCGAATTTTCACCCACTAATGATTTGTGTTGGGCGCCTACCGACGCGCCTAGTCGGGCAGCTCCGACACCGCTCGAAATGGTCTCTGGTTGGCATGGTGGTATATTCTGGCCCGGCCTGTTGAGGCGAATACACACTATGATTCACTGCGAACTGGGCTGTTCGGCTGAGACCGAGCATTATACGCAGGGAAACAACACACTTCCACGTATATAAACACTCGCAATGTCGAGATGTTTCCGCATACACGCGCAATATTCGGCAGTCAGAAAGGACATTCATACAGCACTCCCACATAGACATTTGGTTGGCATTTTCATCGCACCTTATCAAGCTAAATAAGTCGGTAAACTACATCAGTTGTCAGTTATAATTCGAATAATTTAGGGAACAATTGACCTGTCTTTTCACTTGATAAAAAGTTGACAAGATCTCTACGCCTACATACACTGGTCGCTCGAGGCTATAGAAAACACCATGTTGCTCCCAGAGCGATCAGTCATCCGCCCTCGTCAAACATAAGAAATCGCCCCACATCTGGTGGAACCCAACCGAGGCGTCAATACAACACTACTCACACCGGCCCGAACTTTGGCTGCTCCGTTATAAATGCGGTAAAAACGGGGCCTATCTGTGCGCCCCGAACACATTCGATGTCTAACATTGGCCTGGTTCCCCACCACACAGTTCATTTGGCGTCCCGCTCGCCCCTCCCTCCCTACGAGTGTTTGATGTTCTTTCCGCGTGACTTGCGCTGCCTCTGCCGGCAGCAGAGGGCGGCGGCGGTGGCCAGCAGGGCGGCGACCAGCGCCGTGCCGGCGGCGGCCAGCAGCGGCGCCAGTGGCAGCCGCTCGGCCGGCGCCACGCCCAGGAAGCGCAGCGCCTGCGCGCCCGTCTGCACGCCGCAGTCCACCTGCACGATGATGGTGTTGCTCTGCGGCAGGATGGGGTTGCGGTCGCAGCGCAGGCCGCGCACGCCGTCCAGCTCGTCCCAGACGAGCCGGCCGAACACCCAGCCGGGCACGGACACCCAGCGCAGCCAGCGCGTCCACGGCGAGAGGTCCTGCGGGTGGGCCGACCAGCCGGCCACCAGCAGCAGCGGCACCAGCGCGGCGGCCAGCCAGCCGGCCGACAGGTGCCGGGACGAGGTCAGGTAGGCGGCCGCCACCGCCAGCAGCCGCAGGCTCAGCAGGTACGCCAGCATGTACCCTGCGGAATGGGGAGGGTAGATTAGCCATCAACGAGACTTAACCGTCGCGTCGGAATGGGACCCGTACGTTCAGAGCCAGGGGGACTAATTAATTTTGACAGATCGGTATCATAAGCTGGGAGGGACAGGATTTCATCCTCAACCCTGCACTTTTCGACTAGTAGCGTTCAACGTACCCATGTAGAGGTAGAATGTCATGTCGCTCTCCTCTGGGTGTGTGCCGGCCATTTTGTAGGCGGGCACGATAAGCAGCAGACACTGCAGCACCGAGCCGGGAAAGCTGTAGAACAACTGAAAATATGGAAGGGGACTGTCAGTACTCTTCAGTTAACAGAGGTGGCACACCAGCTCACAGGACAGACACTGGAGCACCGAGCACGGTCAGCTGTAGAACAACTGCCGGACAGGGAAAGGAGATCAGGACATCCCCCGGCACATGGGCTATTCGTGGAAGATCGCACTGAGAAGCGTGAATAGAGTTCACCACATTTTTTATTGCCCCGCATATCGGGTTTAGAGTCCATGTGTTACGATTAGCGTATGTTACCGGCAGCGAGTCCGCCGTCCTCGGTCTCACCTTGCTGACTACGAGGCTGAGCCGCGAGTAGAGCCGGTCGGCCACGTCCCTGCTGACGGCGTCCTTCTCCTTCCAGACCTCGCTGACACTGAGCAGCAGCAGCGGCCACAGCGCCAGCGCCATCACCGTGTAGTGGAAGCCCAGACGGTCCGGCACGTTCTCCTGGGAAAGGTCAGTGGCGGTCGGGTCGGGTCAGAGATCGGCGCTTCAAATCCAGCGCCATGGATGTTACTAGTTCTGAGGATTTACCTTCATAAATTGTATGACGTTACTGTTGTATCGCTACTGCTGAATAATCATCCCCAACAACGAATCCCCTTTTGACGACTGATTTCATCATCGAAGCTATGAGCTGAAGAGCATGATGTCACTGACCTGGTCCTTGTTGTCGCCCCTGATGTCATAGAAGACGGTGCCCACGATGACGGACATGAGGCAGGCGAGCGTCATCGATGACGCCCATCGGATGAGATTATACGGAAATGTGTACACCATGGCTCGACTGGAGAGGAGACATACACAGGTCAGTCTCGTCTGCACGGGACACTCCCGGTCACTCACTAATAGCTACCAGCGATCCTTAGCAGTCACTACATTGAAGAACACGAATGATAACTGACCGGTGTATCATTGCGATTCAAAATGGAAAAAAAAACATCCACAAGCTGGACTCTGCGTGCACAACCCTGTCAGGTCACCACACCGCAACACTTTCCTGGTTACTGCCTCTACCTCCACCAAGTTCTCCCCAACTCACATCCAGAGTGCCAGTATCTGAATGCAGCAGTTTGCTCTCCGGATCTTTGGCGGCAGCAGGCCGGGCGGCCCGGGGTCGGCCAGCGGCTCCTGGCGCCGCTGGAAGGTCTGCGCCAGCTCCGTCACTCGCTGGGACGACTCCAGGGTGGCCTCCGGCGACAGGTCATCCAGGGTCACCAGGTCAACTGCGGGAGGTGATGGGTCACAAAGTCAACGGCGGGCTGGTGACGGGTCAGAAGGAGAAATCAACTACGGGGGAAAGGGACAGTGGGGAGGATGAAGCCATTCAAGCCAGATGTGGAGGGAACAGATATGGGACTGGATGATTATGTGGGGGACGGACGGGGTCAGCACGAGAGGTAATGGTCAACTGAACTGTACCGTCAGGGGTAGCAGGGGAGCTCATCCCACGTCCAGGCCCACAGAAGAGCAGAAGCTCCATTTCAGGGAAGGGGTTAGTACTGGTCACGAAGGTGGTCAGAACGACAAAAGCCGGTCGGTCGTAGTGTGAAAACGATAGTCACACCGTCTCCGGCTGCCCCCAGTCTGGGCGATGAGTCAGTTCACGACTCCTGTTTAACGACGCATTCACGTGAACCGTGAGTTTTCACTTCGGTGGCACGCACGAATGGGCGTCTGGCGTTTCTCAGTGTAACTACTCGCGGTCTCAAGCGTCACGCCTGTACGCGCCTGACCCCGGAATTAAGTCATGAATTTACATGCTCGTGACTATGCCTGCCTTAACCCGTTCGCCTTTCTCTCCGCTCGATAGCGCCACCCCGGTGCTCTGCTCTGCTGCACATTATACCGGTATACCACCAGTTCCCCTGATCGCCCACCAGCCTCGCCTCCTTCACCAATCGCCCACTCACGGTAGTAGTCGGACGGGTTCTTGTAGGCCGGGCACGGGTAGTCGATGAAGGCGAAGTAGGGTAGCATCTCGCGCCGCTTGCCGCTGTAGATAACCTTCCGGTCGGAGATGAGCATCACCTTGGACAGCATGGTGAAGATCTCGTAGGTGGGCGGCTGCAGGGTCAGCATCACGATCCGGCCGCGGGCGGCCCACTGGCGCAGGTACTCGACCAGGAAGAAGGTGTCGAAGATATCCATCTCGCGCGTGGGCTGGTCGAGGAGGACAAGGTCTGTGTCCAGACTGAGATGACAGGCGACGTTGAGTCGGCGCCGCTCTGAGACTGTGAGGTCGCGGACCGAGGTGTGCTTCACCTGACCCAGACCGAGATCCTCGATCAAAGCGTTTATCTGCCGGAGAGAGGGGGAGGGAACCAGGCGTCAGCGACTTTGTGTCATAGAGGTGGCGGAGGACACGTGAAACAGGCCTACGTTGGTGACATTTCAGGACTTACATGAAATGTCGCGAAAATGGCAGAATATGGGTAAATCAACTGTTTTCAAAGATAGCTCCAAGCACAATACACGGAAACCAATAACCCTGCTAGATTTCAGCTGGTTAACATGTTGGACGACTGCTTGTCAGTAATATTGCCCTTCGATTTAGAGGGAGGTTGACCGTCCCCTGCACCTTTCCTCGTGCCACAGCCGACCAGCGTAATCCCGGTTAGTGACTCCTGTACGACACCTTTTGTTTGACGTTGAAGCCGCGCCCTACATCGCCCGGCTCCTGCAGGAAGGCGTGAAACAGCATGGTCTGTCGGACGGACATGTTTGGGCTGAAGTCGCAGTTTTCCTGGACGTAGGCGACGCGTCGCGCTAGCCGGCCCGGGTCCACCTGGCAGCCGTTGACCAGCAGGTCTCCGGTGACACGCAGGGACCACCGGGTGCCGCAGTCGGCCAGCGCGTCCAGCAGCGCCGTCCCCTCCCGCTCTGTGGGGAGAGGGAGAGGGGGTGTCACAGGGGGCATGCATTATGGTTAATACGCATTGCAGCTTGGTGACTTCGTGGTGTGTCCAAGCCAGCAGCATCTACATATTAAACCTGCCAAAATAAATGCCCGTTTATACATGGGCATTATCCTTTCCTTTTGTTGGCCTGACGGCTCACCTTCCCGGCCCTCCCGCCCACTCACCGGCCGTGGTCATGATGCCGACCAGGTCGCCTCCGCGCGCCTCGAACGTCACGCCGTCGACGAGCCGCCGCCAGCCGCCGCGCTCGGATCGCTCGCAGGTCAGGTCGCGCACCTGCAGGTGCGGGTGCTTGGTGTCGGCCGCCTGGTCCTTGGGGAACAGCTTGTCGTTCAGCATCGGCGGCTCCTTGCCGTAGGTGGCGGCGTCTCCGCGGCGCGAGAATCCGGCCGTGCCGAGCGCCGCGCCGCGCGACAGCCGCGAGCCGAGCGAGGCGTGCGAGCCGGCGCGGCTGCGCTGGCTGGCCGGCCGGCGCCGCTCCAGCTGGGCCGTGTACGCGCTCTGGGCGGCCAGCTCTGAGCGGGCCGTCTCCGGGGAGCGCACCGCGCGCCCGTACCCGCCGCCGTCCGCGGCCAGCAGGTTGGCCTCGCTGCTGGAGCGCGGCCGCCGACCCCGGAACACCGAGTCACCAAAGGAGCGTGTCGGCGGCGCGCCCACGCCGCGCAGGTCTGGGTTGGACTTGGCGCGCCGGTAGCGCTCGGAGCGGCCGCCGCCGCCGGCGCCGTCATCGCTCGAGTCGTACCCCGAGCTGCCATCGGGCCGGGACGGCGGAAACACGCGCGGCAGCCCGTACTTGAGGTAGGTGTACATGTTGGCGCCCAGCTCCGACTTGGGGCCGTACTTGGGGTGCTGCAGGATCGAGTGTACGGTGGTCTCGCGCAGCTGGAAGTTGCCGTACGGCAGTGGCGACTTGTCGCTGCTGCCCAGTGCCGAGTCGGTGAACTCCGAGTTCAGGTTCTGCCGGTAGATGGACCAGGCGTGCAGCTCGTCCGAGGTCGGTCGGCCCGGCGCCAGGTGGTGTGCCGAGCCCGCCTGGCTGGCCGGACCCGAGGAGTACTTGCGACGCATTGCGCCGAGCTCCCAGGCTTCTGTCGAGTCAGACCTGAGGACACACAGAAACGACGGACGGTCAGACACCAGGCACTGTCACTGCTGTCACGCATTAGCCTAGATCGGTGCAATAATTTATCTCGCATCAGCTGGGAAATGATTGAACTCTATCGTGATCACCGTCACTAGCGTCTCACGGCCTCCCGTTACGGCCTGTGACTCAGTAGTGGGTCACACGCGGCGCATCGCTCATCTCTCGGACAGACGGTCAGTGAGTCTCTGTGACAGACGGTCAGTGAGTCTCTGTGACGGGCTGGTCAGTGAGTCTCTGTGACGGGCTGGTCAGTGAGTCTCTGTGACAGACGGTCAGTGGTCCGCGACCGTCAACTGCCGTCTGACGGCCGCCAGATGGACGGGCCAGGTCCGCTGACGAGCGAACGCAGGATTCGGGAGCACAAGCGACGAGTACGAGTGAACGCATGATTCATGATGGCAGCATTGGAGGTCTGACCTACCTAACATCCTTCCTCAGCTTCAGAAAGTACATTTAAAGTGAAGAAAATTTCGTCAAATTCCCATCTTTCCGTCCCTCCCATCTCCTTCCTTCGCTCCCGGTGAGGAGATAATGCGGCGCCGGTGTACCGTCGTCGGCACACGCTCTGCCGGCCTCCGGGGCCCACTGCCGACCGTGACGCAGCCCGTGTAACGGTGCCGCTCCGAGCGAGCGACGAGCGCCAGTCCGCCGACCGTAAAACGCGATCAATAACCGATCCGGCGCGCCGTAACGAAGAATAACGACGCCGGGCGCGCGGCGAAAGCAGAACGTGTCGCTACCGACTCCGTGAGGATTTCGATTCGTGATTGAGCTGTCCATGTTTAAACACCGACGACTTTACGGTTTAGTTGGGTCGGTGACCAGTGCAGCTCGCCCAGCGTCTGACTCATAGCTGTTAGCTACCTGCAGGCGTCGGAAGCGTGCCTCCAGCACCAGTGTCAGCTCCCACAGTTGGTAACCGTACTGGAACTGCTAAACGGTTCTAATTGCGCTGCGAAATGATGAGCTCATGCCAAGTCAACGTAGGCCGGCAAACTCGGAATAGGCATCTGTCCATCTTTTACTTGATTTGGTCTAGCATGCATCATCGAGCATGCACGGAAGGAAGACTAAACGTAATCCATGCCATTGGCATCTCATAGAGGTCTGTGAGAACGGGAGTGGCGTCCTTTTCTAACACATCACATCAAGAACCGCTAATCGTCCTCATTTCACGCTCAAGACGGAGCGGAGCCATTCTCTCGCGCTGATGTCGAGACAATGGGAACGACTACCAGCGACGTTAGCGTACTTTGTTGCTGAGGCCGTTGGCATGGACTCATCACAGCGTCTGGGAATGAACGCCGCAACAGCAGCACCTGTTTACGACTTGTTTTTCTGTTTTGTCGGAATTCCTGTCCGGTTCCAGACAGCCGTTTGACAGCCGTTGTCGCATTCCCGCTGGCTGTGTCGTGGACGGGATGGAATGGCACTGCAAGAAAAATGACTGTTTACTCAATCCCTTACCGTGCCATTCATGACTTTTGACAGGTCCGCATACATCGTTTGCTATAAAGCCGGCACCTGTTTCCGAATCGAGTTTACTCTCACGGTTATGCAATATTCCATCTGGCTACGCACTAATCATCACACGTAAGGCGCGTCTATAGTTTCTTTGTGCGCGCTCGCCCTTCGCCACCTTTCTCCTCGGGACCCGTTACTATTCCCGGATCTAGGCGCCGGCCCAGTCAGTGCAGATTACCGGTATAGGCCAGGTCATGGGAGAGGTCACGGCTGGGTCACAGACGGGTCAGGTGGTGGGTGAAGGGACGGCCCGGAGGGCAGGCTCCAGTCACTTCCGCTGCCAGGTGGGATTGCGCGGCCGCTGGCGCCGGTCGGACAGAGAGCTTCCGGCGCCTCAGAGCGGGTCAGCGGGTCACAGAGGTCACTGGGAGCTTCCTATCGAGCTCAGACCAGGGGCGGGCTGCCGCCCGGCGCGAGAGGCGGGTTCTCGCGATATGTTCTCGAGTCTGACGGTCTGTGGTCTGGAGTTTTGTGCACAAATTCTCTTTGTTGGGGATTAACGTGGTGAGTCATTGTTGCCACTAAATGTCGCCCATACTCTACAATGTCGCCTATCTCTAGTCTCCTTAACACCTGGGACCCGCACCCGCGGCCCAATCTGACCTTTGCCACCTGGTCAACTGCCCGGCAGCCTCTGCATTCTGCAGACCACCTATACCTCCACCCCAGCGAGCAGGAGTCGCGGCCGGCACCCGGTCACAGCCCAATCACTCGGAGTGAAATGCGAGCCGCCATCGGTGACCGAGTTCCGTGTACCAACTCCCAACGGCTGGACAGAGTCGCCGCCGACCGTGGCCGGTATCGAGCCCGACATTACCCGCCCAGCGGCGCACTCCGCTCTCAGGGTGTAAACTGGAGCTGCGGGTTTACGATCACGGTAAAGGGGACGGAGGCGACGGGTATCGGAGCGCCAGTGTCGGTCCGGCTTCGTCAGGTTTACGGCTCGTTTCGAGGACACCGGATGACGTGCTGACGGTGCTCTGATTCAGCGCGTGCTGGACCCGCTGACTTGGGGGCGGACCTCGACTCGCGTGATCATAACGATGAACAATGGGAGTAAATTCCCTTCAGCAAATTACCTCGCTCGGTAGGTGATAACCATCTGAACAAAACATCACGGGCCTTGAAACCGCCTACAGAACCTTTCCCGGTACGAATGCAATGCTTTCAGGATGTTGACTAGGATGCTTGCAGCTTGATATGCGTCGCCATTTTAAGAAGTTTATCGTAAAATCCATCTCAAATGAAGCGTGACCGATCTTTGAGCGATACGGGTGTTTGGAAATAAAGCCGTTTTGTCTTCGAAGAACTCGCAATAATCTCAAGGCGAGCGAATAGCTCAATAAACCTCGCTTGATCGGGTTCGGCTATCTTTATCAGCGTCTGATCTGTACCGTATCTCAGACCGGTCTCTCTATCAGCCGATCGGACTGTGAGCCGATATCTGCCCACGGACTGGGGCAATCAGCCGGGGTTCACTGGTCGGGCCGAGAGTTTGCCGTTGGTCGTCACTGGTCCGTGGCCGGGGAGCTCAGTTGGTCAGTGGTCAGCGGCGGCTGACCGGCGGACACGGCTCGTCAGTGGGCCAGCGAGATGGACCGCCGCACCGCAGACCGTGTCCGTGTGCTGTGGTATACCGCTCTCCGGCCGGGCACTCACAGGCAGTCAGACTTGGGCACTGTGCGCTCGTCTATTGCTGATTGATGGACGGAGCGAGCCACCTGCTCTGACATGGGCTTACCATCACTGCCGGCCGGCCGGCCACCAGACGGCTGTGCTCTGCTCTGGTTCTGGCCGCTGACCGACTGTCAACTGTCCGACTGTTTATCAGCTCGATCTACAGCCTAAGTTTGTGACGCACGTTTGACGTTAGGGGGTCTCTTGACAAACTGCATCCGAGTTCTCTCCGCACGCAGGTGAACACTGACTGCCGCTATGGTGACGACTGGCGACGGAATCGATACATGACACTCCTCGGCCGCACCTATTATTGTTACCTCAACGATAACAGTTCGATTGCTGTTCATAAGCTTCACTTTCACTTGAATAATTTGTAACCTTGCCGAGGTTATACGGCCGTTGGAAAAATGGTTGCCTTAGTCGTGAACTAATCAATGTCCGTTTAGCTGGACGTGATATTTTTCTTGTAAAAAAGCAGTGGTTTCCTAACAATTTTAGTATGTCTTTATGAAGTTACTTTCAGAGTGATGAACTGTTCATTGCGTTTGTCATCGGTATTCGGTCGGCACTCGACGCTTACTTTCCATTCCGAGTTTTCCGATCGATCACGAGCATAGCTATCAGGTTTTCTTATTCCCATGCCAGTCATGCTTATCCTGTGTGGGCATTTTATCTTTGTGAAAGTGTCGCGTGCCGCGCACGAAAATTAATTAGCCGGCAATTACAGGCATTTCGCTTTCAGGGTGTCTAAGGGTTCGGTTTCTGTTCCACCATTGCAATCCAAATATTACACCATCATGATTGCTATTGCTCTTGTGTATTTTCATTTCACCGATTCTCTTGTGCTGTTATGAAACTCACAACCTTTCTATTTTGTTATCTAGCTATCCCCACTTGAAGTAAATATCATTGTTCCCTCGATCGCTATCCATTCACCGTCCAAGCACGTTACGGTGAAAGCTGCTGTGGCCATGCCCGCGACCTTGTCTCTCTCGGTCTGGCGGCAGGTCCGTCCTATCTCCATCGCACTCGCTGCCAGATCTGACAGCTGATAATTATCAGTCCGTATTCAGTTCCGTGTCGCTCCCGGCTACTGAGCTAGACGGACGCGCCTTTGTTCTGTCCGTACAAACGTTCTCACCTCTCGCTGTCATTCAGCGCTCGCAGACGCACCCCTCCAGGTCACCGTGTCCCCGCCGCCCTCTCCGGTCACGCGGTCGCCTCTCCATGCAGATGGTATGCATGAGAGCCGCCCTGGCTGGATGTCAATGGATGCTGTTCAGACGCCGGTGCGGTGTGGGAGGGTGGGCCCGCCCGACTGACCGCCTGGTGAGACGGACGGCGGGAGGGACGGCGGCACCGGGACCCGGGCGTCACCGTCCGGCGCGCCCACGGAGAGGGGTGGCGGGCGGTGCCGGGGCCGCTCCACCCCGTCCCGACTCGCCGGCTCACACCTGTTCAGAGGGAATGAGCGGGAGTGAGGGGTGTTGTTCAGCGGAAATCATTGCGAGATGCTTATGGTGATGATTAAACATGCTGAGATGGTTTTTCTTTGCTTGATCGTTGGTGTCAACAAAAATAATTATGTGCATAGTGTAATGATTAATCAAAACAGCTGCTTTACACTATATGTTTGGGTTTACTTTGCCAAATAATGTCCGCGCTCCGAGACGCTGTAAGTCACGCTATCCACCACTCGCACCTGCCGGCTCCCCCACCCCGTTTGTATCACCCATTGTCCGTCTCGTAGGGGA